TTATACTAGTGTCTGCTGTTTCCACTTCTTCCACAAATCCCATTCCTTGTTGCTGACCAGCTGCTGTATTCCTGCTCAAAGCCATTGCTTCCCAACGAGTGCACAAATGCTTGTAGTGTTGGGATCCTTGGAAAGAGAGGGAAACTGCCGGGCTGTTAATTAGTGGGGCACCCTGTTAATTGACATGCTGCCAGATTAGGCTGCAGAACAACTGGGTTTAATCTGTGTGGTTTTACTGAGGAGGAATATTCTGATTTCCCTCCAGCTGACCCCTCCACTGCTCAGTATGTGATTAGTGCAGAACAAACTGGGTCAGCTGAGGCTGCTCAGAGGATTTTGAAACCAGCACTTGTAGTTCCAGCAGTTTGCAGAAACCAGCAAATGATGTTCAAACCATATAACTGAAGGACATGAGCAAACCAGGACTTTTAGGTGAAGCTGGTTTGTTTTTAGACGGAGTCAGAAAAACGTAGGAGCTTTTTGGCATCCACTGACTTGAAAAGGGGCTCGTGCATCTCTTCCCCTTTGTACCAACAAGAGGTTAATTACACCTTTACACCTGGTCTTGTAATCTGTACTAGGGCATTTGGCATGGTTGATCTATTTAGGCTTTTTAAGAATTTCCCTTGTAATACTTAAAGTCCAGTTGTGCACCCGTGCTGTAATCTGTCCCTTGGGAGGACAGTTTGGTGCTGTTGAGGTATTCTGCTTTGTAGAAGAGAATTTTAATATTGTTTACCATGCTCTTAATCTCACTGCTGGCAGATAAAATGACTTTCTTTAGCCCTCCCCCTGAGGACCTGGTGGAGCTTCATGGCCAACAGACCCATGGCATTAGGTGGAGTTATCTGAGCTTTGCAAAAATCTGCTCATCTGCCTTCCTGGGAGGAGTAATTATTGGTGAGAGAATAAAATGTTGATTTTATTTTTGAAATTACATTTATAAAAAGGAACGGGCAGCCAGATCCCTGGGCTAGCTGGGGAGGGTTTGTAAGTCTGGCCCTTGAGAAGCATTTGCAGCTGGGGAGAGTCCTGATGGCTTGGATCAGCTGCTCGAGGGGAGTTTGGCAGGTCAGGGAGGAAGACTCAGGCTGTTCTCTGTGTGATGAAGAGGAGGCTGCTCTGTGCCTGGCTTTCATCTCCCAGCTGGCCTTATTGCTGGTGTCTGCTTTTTCTTGTTGTGATGGTGAGCTGTTGTGGGCAGCATCAGCCCCTTGCTGGGCTCTTGCCATCTGCCCCAGTGGGAGCCAGCAGTGGGTGCTGCTGCAGTAATGTCATTTTTTAAGTAGTGTAAAGCAAAGGGCTGAAGTGGCATAATGAGTGATAATCTAATATTTGTTTATTGGCTGTTACTAGCACCATATTAGGTCAAAATGAATAATCATCTGGGAGTTGTCAGGTGAGCTTGTTTAATTTCATGGGTCATGGTCTGTATTAATGCAGGACCATGTTCCTCAAGCTATGGGTGTGTGTTAACCCTTCCCTTTCCCTCCAGCTGGTGGGTATAGTTCCAAACTGTTATAAGAGCATCCTTTCTCTCCCCCACATGCTTTTTTTTCCAAGACAGCCTTGGGTTTTGTGTCTCATTACAGTAAAAGCCCTGTAGTAGCTGCCCAGCTGCTGTCATGTCCCTCCCTGGAATGGTGATTTAGAGCTGAGCCAGCATGGAAACTGCCTTTCCATGCCTAAGGCAAGCCTGTTGGCAGCCACTGTGGAGAAGTAATGTGCCACTTCTGCTTGGGAGAGTTGTCAGTTTTCTCGTTTAGTTGAGAAAAACAACCACCGTTGGCTCAGGTTTTAGCTGGGCTCTTGGAAGTGTGCTGTAGTCTTTGGAAGGAAGCTGTGAGGACAGAGGGGTCCAGCTCATGAGCTTCATTCTGAATGAAGCTGAATGCTTAGTGTTCCAGAGGTCTGGGTAAGGAATGAAAGTGAGGAAGGGGGAAGCTGTAAAGGGGTGTTGAGTAAAGCTCATGCATGTGGATTGCCCAAGGCTGGGTGTGCAGTTTCGTGGTGGTTTGAGCTGGGGCTGCCCAGGTTCTGTCCTTCCCTCTGGACGTGCTTGGTCTGCATCTGGCTCAGCTTTGGCTGCTCCCAGAGCAGCTGCATCGGTGCTGGTGTGAGGATGGGAGGAGGTCCAGGGTCTGCAATTGGGCCGGGCTGTGTTGCTGTGGGTGGAGAGCTGGGAAAGACAAAACTCCCTGTGCAGGAGGCAGTGTGTTAAGACTGAAGAAATAGGGTTGAAAACACTCCAAACAGTTTTCTATTGTGTGTGGATTAGCTGCCTAGCTGGAAAAAAGCCATCACCTTACTGCTGGGAGTTCAGAGCCGGGTCAATGGAACAGGAATATATTCTGAGAGTGGTGCAGAGAGCTGGGGAGAAAAGCTGTGAAGTGTTTGAAGTGTGGAGGCAGACAAAGAGTGGGGCTCTGCTGCTGTGGTGGCCGGAGGAGCAGGGAGTGTCTGAGCAGTGCAGCACCCGGGCTCTGGAAACACAGGAATTCCACACAGCTGTCAGGGAATGTGGGAACGCTCAGAGGACATGAATATTCATAGGCGCTGTGGCATGTCATGCTAGAGGAAATGAAAAATCCAAGTTTTCTCAGAAGTAGGTATCTGGGAAACCTGTGACAGGGGATAAAAGCAAATTTGTGTTCTGTGGAGTGGATTATCTCAAATATTAGTCCAGAATACAGCTTTCCAATTAGCTGGTCGTGGTTAATGCTGGCAGCAGGATCTGCACTGCTTAATCCATTCCTTTGGTGAGAATTCCTGTTCTTAGTGCAGGAACACGAAGTGAATTCCTGACCCTCAGTGCAGGCAGAGCTGTGCTCCTGCTCTGGCAGCCTGTGGCAATGCTGCACTGTGCCTTTTATGCTTGTCCTGTTAATAACCAGATATTGTGGATTTAGTGTTGTGCTCAGGAAGATCCTCCCAGCGCAGACTGAGGTGCTTCCAGCTGTGACAGGCAGTGACAGATGTCCCTGGAGTGCACAGTGAGTGCCCAGCAGTGATGCTGCCAGGATTAGTATTCCAGGCACAAATGTGCCCCTTGTAGTGCAGAGCTCAGCACAGCCTGTGCAGGAATGCCCTTGAAAGGCAAATTTAACCCAGCTCCCTGGTGGCTCTGGGGGAGTGGGAGCACTGCTGTCACTTATGCTGAGATTCAAGGAGGCTTTGAGGTGGCAGTTTCAGTTTCCCTTCTGCCTTCCTTTCCCAGAAGGGCTGGCTGGAAAGGGCAGGCAGGGCTGGTGGCTCCTCTGCATTCAGTGGGGGAGCATTCCCTGGCAGGAGACTGGACCAGATGAGGGTCAGGCTCTGCTCCTGGGGACCGAGGGACAGGACAAGAGGAAACTGCCTCAAGTTGTGCCAGGGCGTTTCAGGTTGGATATCAGGGAAAATTTCTTCACCAAAAGGGTTGTCAAGCCATGGCACAGTCTGTTTACAGCAGTGTTGGAGTCACCATTCCTGCAAGTGTTCAAAAACGTGTGGATGTGGCACCTGGGGACGTGGGTTAGTGGTCATCTTGGCAGTGCTGGGTTAATGGTTGGACTCTATCATCTTTTCCAGCTTAAATGATTCTGTAGTTCATTCATTCCAGTTCTTGCAAATGGTGCCCTTGATGCAGCATGTGGATGCACCAAACCATGCATCCAAATGCAAGTGAAAGCTGTTTTTTAACAGTGTGAATGGATTAGGCTGTAGGGATTCTGAGGGTGTTTCCTAAGCAACTTGTGGCTGGCTGCCTCTGAAATCAACACCTTCTGATGTTCTTGGTCCACTCACTTGCTGCCCAGAAGCCTCTACAGATACCTGTTCTCTTCTGTGAGCTGTTTAAAGCTGTGATCCCCAATTATGTTTTGCGGGTTTAATGGCTCTGTTGAGGTGTTCCCCCCATTCCCAGAGCATCACTACGTGGAATTCAAGCTGCATCAGAAGGAAGTAACCTGGAGCATGATTGTCTGATGCAAGGAAGCATTTTCCCCCACACAGCTGAGCAAAGCAGAGCTGAAAAGCCTCGCTGGCAGAGCCTCCATGGCCGGTGAGTTGTGGCTGCTGTGCTGACACTGCAGCCCTGGGATGCTCCCATGCTCTTGGGCACGCTGAGCACGTGCTGCACAATCAGCAAGCTGTCACATGAAGATGACCAGCTGATCTGATGTTAAACTAAAGCCACCAAACTGTGCTCTGCTGCGGGAGCAAAGGTGATGAGTTGGCCTGGGCTTCACGTGGGAAAGGTTAGGCTGAAGTGGGCTATAGATAAAGGCTGGCTTTGACCCCTCAGCACTGGAATAACTCTATTTTGTAGTTCTTCCCCACTCACTCCATGATGTTCCTTCTGACATGTCCAGTTGAGTTTGTCTAAGTTTGAACTGCAAGGACAGAACCTCTCTTTTCCTAAAATACTGAACTTGTTTTCACTGCACTGTGGAATCTGTCAAAATCAAGACACATCATGATTTCCCCAAACTTAGTTCCCCTGGCACCTCATTTCAGAACTTTCTCCAGAGAAAAACTGGCTTTTGTACTAAAATCCTGGTTCCCTTTTTTTTTTTTTTGGTCTTTTTTTCCCTCGGCAGTATGTTCAGAAGTGCCTTGATGCTGTGTGACATCTGAAATACTTCCTGTGCACGTGCTGGGCTGCCTTTGCTAGATAAGCAGCAGGTTGTTCCCTTTTACAGCAGGCACATCCCTTCCTGAAGAGGCAGATGTGGAATGTTTTCCCTGGGAACAAATATTGCTGCTTTCTAATTACGGCACCTTAATTTTGTTTCTCTTTTCTTTCCATCATGGCGTGTGTGTGATTAGAAGCTTCTTATGGCTTCAAAGAGGGTGACAATGTCACACTCTTCCCAGTTTGGGGCAGGATTTCTGCTCTGGGTTCCCTCCACACTGGTTTTGTGTAGGCTGAGCAGAGCTGATAGAGAAATAAAACTAAATCTGAGCTTTGTTCACACTTGGAATTTTAATTGGTGTGTTGACTTTGTTTCCTGTTTTTGCAGGCATTTCTCCAGACACTAGTGTGCAAGAGGAATGGAAGAGAACACTGGTGAGTACAGTGTTGGATATCTTGCCACAGGTTATGCACCTGACCTGTCCTCCTTGGTTAAGCATCATAAAGAACCTGATTACTTTAAACTTGGTGTCTTCATTTCAAGTGTAGAAGGTGATCAGAAAATAATGTAGTTTGGCAGATGCATCAGCTGCACTTGTACTGTGGTGTGGACCAGATCTGACTGAAGCTCTGTACATATGGAAAATCTTTTTTGGAATCTCCCACCTGTGAAACCTGGAATGCTGATCTCTTGGCTATCTCAAGTTCTTGAAAACAAGTAACATCCCCTTTCTTAATAAGGAAGAGGCCAGAAGCAATGAGCTGGTTTGAACAAGGCACATGGCAAGGCATAAAGTAGGATCAACTCCTGGTTATTCCTGTTCTGTATTTATTCCTTTAGGCTGCTCTGTGTTGCAGAAGGTACAGGATTTTTTTGGATTAAAGTTTTTTAAATTAAAATTTAAATCTCATGCTTTAGGCAGTGTGTAGTGCTTGCCCTGAAGCAAGAAAATTCATTGCTGGTAGGCTTAACTGATGCAAGGATATGGCTGTAACTAAAACTCACAGATTTTTGGCTTAGAGATTGCCTTGAAGAGGTCTTCCATCTGTTTGCCTAAAATGGCTACAAGAAAGGAGTTAAATGCCCGTTTTTTTCCCTGCCATTGACATGAGGTTTGCTGAAGGTTGGCATGAAACCAGTATCCAGGCAGCAAATTCACCTCACATCTTCTGGACTGTGATTCTGCAGCTGGCGATTCTAACTCGTAAATAATATTTCTAGGTTATTCTATACAGTCAGGTGATGCCATCCTGAAAACTTTGGGAATGGTTGTGTTGTCAGCAGGGCAGTGTGCTTGCTGAGGCAGATGAAGGTCAGTTTTTGGCTTCATACAGAGCTGGTGTGTTGGAGCCCAGTGGCCTGGCTGGATCTTGCAAGCCAAGAGCTCCTGCATAAAAGTATAATGTGCTTGTAGTCCTGGTGGCAAGAACTGCTGTGCTCCCTCTTTGTCAGGCTGTAAGGTGCACATTTAATCTGTGGTGATTGCTTTCCCTTCTGATTTGCTCGTGGCAAACTAATCCCAAATGATGACTTGTGGGGGAGGCAGAAGGTGAAGTGAGTGTGGAGGTGGCAGCTCCTGCTCAGCCCTGGGACACAGCACAGCACAGCAGGGCCAGTTTTCAGTCTCTAGGGCTTGAGTTACTGGGATGGCTTTGAGCATGGAAGGTGTCCCTGCCCACAGCAGGAGTGGAACGAGATACTCAAGGTCACTCCCATCCCCAACCATTCTGTGATCCATGATCTCTCCTTGTTCACCAGGACTCAGCCACCTCTGTTCACCTCACAAAGCTTTGTGTCCCTTTTCACGTGCAGTTGAACCCCATTTTTTGGCTAGATCAGTGAGACAGAGCTGGAGCCTTTTGAGGTTTCTGATAGTCCCTGTTTTGATGAGTGCTGGTGGCCTGGGATGTGAAAAGCTGTTTGTTCTGCTTGCATTTTGCCAACATGAGTAAAGTTACTTCCCCTTTCCCTCTGAAGAGCTTCTGCAGTGCCATTTTAGGATGGAATATCTGTGCTGGGTCTTTGCATGCACAGACACCCCCATGGCTGGTCATGAAGCTTTGTGTTACCTCCTTGGTGCTAGGAGCCAAGAGCCCTGTATTAAAGACAGAATAAACAGATGGATCTTTTATTATAATTTCCTTAAAATTCCTTTGCTTTTATGGATGTTCATTCTCCAAGTGCTGTTAAGCTCAGGACTGCTGGGTTTCTTCCTGGAGATGAGGTAAGATGGAGCTCAAGTCCAAGTCTGTGCCCTTTGTTCCCTTCAAGCCTGGTGCTTTTGGATGCATTGCTGTCCTTCCCTGGTTGGACATTAACTGCACTGACAGTGCTGCATGGCTGGAGCTTGTTTGAGCTGCTGTGCTTGGAATGGCCACTGGGAATGCACAGGGAAGCATAAATCCTTTTGAGCTGTCAGGCCTCACCAGCCATGGGTGGGTGGGGGAGCCTTCCTTGGCTGACTGCCCTGGCTAATTAAAAATGAAATTTGCTGTTGTCTTCAGATTTTAATTCATGCTCATCCCTGAGGACGAGTGGAAGCCAGGTCTCCAGGCAGCTGCAGTGAAGTTTCAGAGCTGTCCATACATGGTATTCTAGAACAGGTACGCAGCTTAAAATTTGCTCACAACCCTGCCTTGAGTTAAGTGTAGAGAAGAATACACAGAAATTTCTGGCAAACTTTGGGACATGGCCCTAAGTGACTGTAGTTCAAGTTCCCACGTGTGGCCTTAAATTGAAGGAGAGTGGGTTTAGGTTGAATATTAAGAAAAAATTCTTCCCTGTGAGGGTGGTGAGGGACTGGAATGGATTTCCCAGAGAAACTGTGTCTGCCTCATCCCTGGGAGTACTTCAGGCCAATTTGGATGGGGCTTGGAGCATCCAGGTCTAGTGGAAGGTGTCCCTGCCCATGGCATGGGGTGGAATTGGATGAGCTTTGAGATCCCTTCCAACCCACACCATTCTGGGATTCTATGATTTTACATCAGTTCTCTGCAGTAAATTTGGGGGGTGTGTGTTGTAGCCAGGGCAGCCTCACAGGTCTGTTTGTCACTAATGCTGGACTTAGAACTGAATTCCTTCCCTGTGGGCTGTGCCTGTGCCACTGGCATTTGCTTTAGGAATGTTCAGACTGTGAGGTGCCAGTGCCACGGCTGAGGTTCTGAAATGGGGGAACTGCAGTAGTGTGTGAGGAGATGGGAGCTGGTGCAGGTGCTGCAGGGAGGGACAGTGCTGCCCTGCAGGAGCTGATGGTGCCCATGTGAGGATGGAGATTAGGGAGGGCAGTAAATGAAATCTAAATGTGCACATGCTGCTGGGCTAAGCTTCCTCAAGGTCCCACCTACACAAGTGATCTGTTGAAGGGAAATGTCTCTGGAATACCTTTCCCTTCTTCAGATCTTTCCTGTGGTGCAGGTGAAGAATCACACTCTGTTTTTGGAGCCTGTTTTTGCTGTTCATCTACTGCCTGTCACTACCCAGGCCCCTCCCAAAGACCACTCACCTTACCATGATCTGAGCTACGTTTGGAGCTTTTTCTTTGTCAAAGGATTGTGTTCTATAGTATTTCATCTGTCTGTAAGTCTGGGAGATCTAAAAAGCAAAATATTGAAGTGGAAGCTTTGTGCTTGGCAGGGCAAGTCTCCCCTTATGCCCATGGTTCCTTGAAAGCTCTGCTGCCACGTTGGATCGACCTGAGGTGGGAGCAGACCTGCACTTCACTTGCCCAGTAATGAGCAATCATTAATGAACAGGTTCAGAGGGAGCATGGAATGCCTTTTCATGGAAAGTTGTTGCTGTTGGGTCCTTTGACCTCCTGTACTTTGCTCTCTGTTGACAGTTTCTGCCTATGCTTACACACTTCCTCTGCAGGTATTCAGATACAAACCTTTAAGTCCCTAAAAGGTCTAAGTCTCTGTGGGACCACCGTGAAACATTTGAGGAAATTACTGAAGGAGCCTTTGCACACACAGGCTGTTACCCAAAGCTGCTTTTTTAGAAAGTTTATGGATGCTTTAAGAATCTTCTGTGGCTACTGCTTTATTCCATGCTGACTTTCATCCCCTTTGACTTTCATCCTCTTTATCTCCTGCTGTGCTACTTTTTTCCCAATTCTTTTCCTCCTAAAAATATGAATTAGTCTTCAAGTCCTTCACCTTTGTGCAAACAAAGAAGTAATTTGTTTTAGCATCTAAGCTGACTCCTGGGTTACATGCCTCAGGAAGAAACCAGTGTGATCTGAATCTGCTGCTTCTGGAGACTTGGGCTCCAAATACAGGCTGAGTAGAGGAAAGGGCTGAAAATGTGAATACTTGGTTCTTATCCCACCAGCTCTGCTGCTTTTTCCCAGCAGGATGCGTGGCTGGCTTCCTGATTGCCATCTTAATCCCCAAGAATCAGAGCTATACCTTCAGATGCTCAGAGATTCCCGACCATTATGGGAACCACTACAGAATGATTGAATGGTTTGGGCTGGGAGGGCCCTGGGCACACACCTTCCACTAGGCCAGGCTTTTTCATAGCCTGTCCAACCTGGCCTTGGCCACCTGCGGGGATGGAGCAGCCACAGCTGCTCTGGGCACCCTGTGCCAGCCCTGCCCACCCTGCCAGGGAACAATTCCTTCCCCAGATCCCATCCAGCCCTGCCCTCTGGCACTGGGAGCCATTCCCTGTGTGCTGTCCCTCCATGCCTTGTCCCCAGTCCCTCTGCAGCTCTCCTGGAGCCCCTTCAGGCCCTGGCAGGGGCTCTGAGGTCTCAGTTGAGGCCAGGCTGGTGGAGCTGGCAGTCAGTGCCAGCACTGTGTGCTGCCTGGATGGGCGCTCAGAGCATTGCAGGCCTGGGGGCTGCTGGAAAAGAACAGTCACTGCTATGTAGCCAATGGAAATCTCTTCATGATGTCCACAACAAAAGAGTGGGTTTTTCTTCCAGGAAGACACAGCAGCTGTGATTCCACTCAGATGCTGCATGTTGTGCAGCTGTAACACAGCAGAAGAACCAAAGTGGCCAAAGTGCCTGAGATCAAATCCTTAATTACAGTTTGATGTGTGGTAACTTGCAAGCAGGTAGAAAGGCAATTTCCTACTGTTTCTTAGGCAGGTTACCAGAGGTTGGAACTGATCTCAGTGGAAAGCATGTGACTTTAAACAAGGTGCAGCACAGAGCATTTCCTTACCTACCTGAAAGCATTACTGTAAACAAGTCGAGTGCACTTGAGGAGTTAGCAAAACACTTTGGGACATTATCCTGACAGCCTTTTGTTCTTAAATTTGTTTTAGTTCTTAGTGTAATTAATGTACTGAGTGCTGTCAGGGTGCTTGGGGCACTCGATGCCGTGTCGGTGCTGTTTTTCTGCCTGCTGTATTTGCAAGTGGTTCAGCTCAGCCATCCATCTAGTTAGCGTGGCATTTCTGAAAATTAATACCCAGTAATTCCTCCCTGAACAACTTGAGGAAGTGTCTGAACTCTTGCTGCCTTTCCCTCCTGAGCTACAAGCCAAATGTTTTTCAGAGATTATTTGCTGAGAGAGAGACCTCGTAATTCTGTGACACCCCATTTTGAGTGATTTTTGTAGCTGTTGTGTTGTTTGTACCCCTGTCTCTGACTGGGGGAAAGCAGAGGTTAATTCTGCTGGTTTTCTGGTTTCCTGGCTCAGCTGTGGAGGTGCTGGGATGGAAATCCCAGCCCAGCCTCCAGGCTGGCTGGAGCAAGACAGTGGCAAAGGTTGATGTTGAGTGAGAAATGTCGTTTCATTTTGAGGCACAAGCACAAGAAATGCTTCATGACAGAACTGAACAATCTTATTCCTTGTGTGAAGAGGTAAAACCGTGTAGGACATACAATCCATCCTCTGGGTAATTCAGGGTGACTTGCTGTGAAACAGTGAGTGTGGAGTTCCTGTGGCTCAGTAAGTAGGGCATGGAACAGGGCAGTAGCTTTCCAGAGTTTCTAGTTTTCTTTTTTAACTTGTTGGACCTTAAATTCACCTTGCTCCTGGAACATTGCCTGTAAATTCTGTCCAGGGATTTTAGTAGCTGAATTTATTGGGGTTGGGAGTAGAAAGGGAGCCTGCCTGGAGCCAGAGACAAGCAGGTTTAGTATAAATGTGATTTTTGTTATTACTGTTTCTTCACACAGGAGCAATGTGTCCAGGCTGAGTGGCAAACCTGGCCTTTTAAAAACAAAATGCTGAATGTTCTCATTATCTAGCCGCCTTTGTGAGCTGTAAATAGTGTTAGCTGAGCTGTTGGCTGGACAAAGCTACTCCCAGGCCCTCAGGCTGGCCCTGAGGTGCAGTCCCAGTGTGAACATTTGGATCTTGTCACTGCTGACATCACTGCTTTATCTGCTTGGTTCTCCTTTGTCTTGGAAAGGAGCCTGGCTCTGATTGCTGAAGGTGTCTTTTGTCTCCTGAAACCGACAAGCAACCAGAGATGGGAGGTGGCTTTTTTACAGCTTGGGCCCATCCAGCTTTGTGGAATGAGTGGATAACTGTGACTTGCTTCAGGAGAGCATGGTTCTTCAACCCAGCCTGGGTTTGTCTCATTTTGTGAAGCAGAGATTTTAGGATTTCAAAAGGATTTACTGTCTGGGTTATGATAAATTTGTATTCCCTGGCACACGAAGAGTAACACTTACAGGAGATGCTAAATTCCGTGTACAGAGGTGTTCGGGCTGAGGGTGCTCAGGCCATGCAGGTTCTGAGCCGAGCTTTGCAGGTGCAGGCTCTGCCATGGATCCTGGTGCCTATTAGGACTAGTCTAAGGCTGTGTAAGGTGGAGCTTTGTACATTAGTGTAACTCAGCTGTGCAACTGCAATTTTTGTTCAATTTACCACAGAATCACAGAGTCCTGCGGGTTGGAAAAGCCTGCCAAGATCCTCGAGTCCAGCCAATCCCCCCGGCACTGCCAAGGCCACCAGTAGCCCTTGTCCCCAAGTGCCACATCCACGTGGCTTTTAACGCCCTGCCGGGATGGGGACTCTGTGCCGGGGACTGACAGCCCTTTGAGGAATTTTCCCCGGTATTCAATCTAAACCTTCTCTGGGCACAGCCTCACTCTCTTTCCTCCCGTCCTGTCCCGTGTGAGCGCAGCCCGACCGCCCCCCGGCTGCACCCTGCTGTCAGCGGACGGCCCGAGGGTTCGGCCGGGCCGGGCTGCAGAGCTGCGCTGTGGCCGCCAGAGGGCGCGCGGGACCGGCGCGAGGTGAACGCGGAGAGAGGGAGAGAGGGACAGATGGACAGGAGAGAGAGAGGGGGACAGAGGGACAGAAGGACAGGGAATGGCTTCCCACTGCCAGAGCGCAGGGATGGATGGCATAGTGGGAAGGAATCCTTCGTGTGAGGCTGGTGATGCCCTGGCACAGGGTGCCCAGAGAAGCTGTGGCTGCCCCATCCCTGCAGGTGTTCAAGGCCGGGTTGGATGGGGCTTGGAGCAACCTGGGACAGTGAACCGTGGCAGGGAGTGGAACGAGATGAATTTGAAGGTCCTTTTCGATTCAAACCATTCTAGAATGTTGTGAATTCCATTTCTGTAGGAGGCTTCCTCCCTCGCGCCGTTTTTTTGCGGGGGGGATAAAACAGCCAAGCCGTGATGGTGCAGCCAAGC